AAAACCTCTGAGAGAGTCGCACGCTGAAGCTAAAAGGACAACAATGCTCATTGGGCATGTAAACATTGATAAATAAATTCCTAATTTAACTCTAAGCCCGCTCTAGCTTGTCTTTTAAACCTTAAAAGTTTTGCAGTACAACAGTTTATAATGTGGAATGACATTTGTTTTTGTGAATCCCTTATCCTGGAACATATTCCGGTCCTTATGAGTAGGGTACGCTATTTGGGTTCACAATTTATATTTTAATCGTTGTGTAATGAAGTTTGTTAGGACCTCAAAAGGGATCGCTTTTAAACTGTAATGATAGGGGCGGTTTCTACTCCACATACTAGAAGCACTTGTGTAAAATTACTGTGAAAGTTTATAATGATTATAGTACAAATATAGGGTTGCTAAATGATTTTTTTACATTACTGTTTATTTAAACTCCATTCCTTTTATTACAACAGACATTTGGGATGTTTTAAAATAATTTATAATTAATTAAGTATAAAACTAATTATTTCAATTACGCAAATGTGTCTCGTTATTGAATCAACAATGACCACAACTAATATAATAAATCTTTATTTATTGTCTCTTTAGACAAACGAGCTGGCGGTTTACTTAGAGCTGTTAAAAGCTTACCGGCCATGCACACTTGTAACACCAGGTGGTTTGTAGTGCATTGCCAACAGGATTAATTAAATAGGAACCTAAAGGTTTCTATTTAAGTCGTAACGGTCTAGAAATACCTGGAACGGCAGTTGGTTCCATAAAGGGCTGGTAGTTTCCTTAAAAGCGCTGTAACGTGGATCGCCAAACGTTAAGGTAATCAGGGATGTCGCATTCTGTCTCTACGCCCACAATACCTAAAGGTAGCGGTACGCTCTTTTATTTAAGTCGTAACGGTCTAGAAATACCTGGAACGGGTGTTGGTTACATCAAGGGCTGGTAGATTTCTAAAAAGCGCTCTAACGTGGATCGCCAAACGTTAAGGTAAACAGGGATGTCGCATTCTGTCTCGACGCCCACAATACCTAAAGGTAGCGGTACGCTCTTTCAATTAAGTCGTAACGGTCTAGAAATACCTGGAACGGCAGTTGGTTCCATCAAGGGCTGGTAGTTTCCTAAAAAGCGCTCTAACGTGGATCGCCAAACGTTAAGGTAAACAGGGATGTCGCATTCTGTCTCGCCGCCCACAATACCTAAAGGTAGCGGTACGCTCTTTTATTTAAGTCGTAACGGTCTAGAAATACCTGGAACGGGTGTTGGTTCCATCAAGGGCTGGTAGTTTCCTAAAAAGCGCTCTAACGTGGATCGCCAAACGTTAAGGTAAACAGGGATGTCGCATTCTGTCTCGACGCCCACAATACCTAAAGGTAGCGGTACGCTCTTTTATTTAAGTCGTAACGGTCTAGAAATACCTGGAACGGGTGTTGGTTCCATCAAGGGCTGGTAGTTTCCTTAAAAGCGCTCTAACGTGGATCGCCAAACGTTAAGGTAAACAGGGATGTCGCATTCTGTCTTGACTGTTACGACGATGATGTAGCCGCAAAACCGAAAACTTCTTCGGAAGGTTTCCCATGATATGTGTGATAGAACACGCCAAAGGAGTCTACATAGCTACGAAACGCCAAAGGATCTAGGCGATCAGAATGTTGATGCGGTCAAAAGAAAGTAAAATTTTGTTTTTGTTATTGCGACGAAGCTTGGTACAAAGGTTGATTCAACGGAACATAGTTAAATGCACCCATACTGATAGCTGAAATAGACTTTAGCTGCTGATTTGATAATATTAATTATAACCCAATATTTTGCGCAATAGCTATTAATATCTAGTTTTTATAAAGGAAGTGCCAGGCCAAGTGTGCCAAGTGTGCCATGCGTACTCTTGCCAACTACCCTACTTTTGCGATCCTTTTCAATATTGCGATAAAATTGAAGATATTTTGCAGTTTCGTTCCGTTTCATTGATAATGTCAATACTTTGTTCTGTAAAGAGTTGAAAATTGTGCTGTAAAAGAGAAAATATTGTTTTCTATAAACGTATAACAAATGTTATTTGGATTTTCTGACTGCGAAAATTATAAAAGATTGAGTATTGTATATAATACAACATTAGATATATATATTTAATTGTCTAAGGCGCTTTAATATACAGATATACACCATGTATGTTAAATTTAAGACAAATATATCTAAAATCTTATCTAATTTTTTAGTTTTAATACGGTAAAACTAAATATTGCGTTGTCCTGTACACTCATAATGAAAATCATACTCGACTCCACTTAAACATACAAAAAATTTAATTAATATCTGTCAAGTCGTTTAGCAGTTTAATTACGATCACCTGCACGGAAATTTATATATATACCAGCATTATTTGCTGTATAGATAAATAACCTAGATACCGACTGCAACGCCATCTGCCGAGCTGATTTGTGGATCTAAACCATCCAGGGCGCGACCCAAACGCATAAAAAACAAATCATTCAAATCGGTCCAGCCGTTTAAGAGGAGTTCAGTGATATACACACGTACAGTAGAATTAAATATAAGAGATCATTCCGCTCCTGATTGGTCAAGCGATAAGAGTTTTAATATAGCAACCAAACCAAACCACAACTTAACGCTTAAACTGTGATAGTTACCCATATATATTACATGAAACGCGGCTTATATAAAAGAACATATGAAAGCCACACGGCTTCCCTAACACCCAAATGACACCGTTCTCAAATATCTAAACACTTGGTTCCAAAAATATCGATTTCGGCGGAAATAAGTCAGTTGGAATTTGTCACTGTAAACCGTAATCCAGTAATGTGGAAAACTTGATGTGACAGGTTAAGCCTTTTAAGATATAAAGTGCGGATATTATATTTACGAAATTCGATATTCACCAAGTGCGTCTTAGACGATTTTATATTGGTTTTTTATGAAAGTTCATGAATGAAGCGGTTGAAATCAAGCAAAAATGTTTAGCTATTTCGATGTATAGCTGTGTTATTGTATCTATGACCCTCATTGCTGGCTTAGTGTGTGAGCCTGAACCGAGGTCGAGTGTTCAAATCCCAGATTATATAGGGCAAATTAATAAGAAAATAGGGCTTTTTTTTAGGTTAGACAAGAACTGGGCGTGGCTTACAAAACTTGACGATATTATGTGTAACCACAGAGCGCTAATGACTATAAATATATCTTATTAAAAAAATATATATATATATATATTTATTATTAAAATTGGGAAGGCAATATTCACCTGGGGCGGTACTGGATAATAATTATTTATTTATTATTATAATAACTATAATATATAAAATGCAAACTTACCTAATAATTTGTGACTTTTGTAATTTACTAAAAAGGCACTCCCATTAAAAATTCATGTTTTCATATTTAGATGATTTAAAAAGCGCACTGTTGATAATCATAATACTTAATGATCTATTCCCCTACAAATATTTGCTAAGGGTGCATAACATTATCTTTTAAAGTTTAAACATGCATTTATTAACAAGGCGTGTCTTTTTAATGGTTAAAATATGGATATTATCTACGAATAAATTACGGTGTTTTTTTTTATATCACTCATAAAGGTACTACATATTTTTTATTTTTCTTTAGACATATGACATATAAAGCACATATCTATAAACAATAACTGTAGATTGGGTATGTTAATTACTGCATTAGTCAATTAAATCAGTTGACACTGCTTTAACTGGACTGTGTGTACACATTTGTTAGTTTATGTTTTTTTATGAATAAAAATACTTTTACAGAAGGTTATTTATATTTTTTTATAACAGGGGATAAAAATGCAGGAGGCCATGGATACTTACATAAAGATTTTTTTTACTGATTTTAACTTTAATGGCGTTGTGGTTTATGACATTTTCCTTTGAATAATTTTAATGTAGAGGGAGGGTAAAACTTGCTGAGTTTCTTGCCCGTTCTTCTCAGAACAAGGCCCCCTGGTAGTTTTTCGAACGGATCGTGTAGTCTTGCTCTTTCCAGTATTTTTCTGGTATATCGTACATACGAGGGTAGTTTGATATTTTTTATTTAATAAGTATTGTATTTTTCAATGGCCTCATTTTTGCTCGGTGTTGGTTTGGTTGTTATACTCTCAGCCTACGTTAGTTATTGTTATTTCCGTTTCGTTGTGTTCTGCAATATGGGCACCTTTTGGGTAAAGACCTCCTCCTGAACTTTCCATTTGGATCTGTTGTTAGCTTCTTCCATCCATTTCTCCCCAGAAATCTTAACTATATCGTTATCCCAACGCTTTTCTGATCTCCCCACGTTTCATTTTCCTGGAGGTCCAGGGGCTGGTTTAGCTGGTTCATCTTTTATATGTGCACCTTGCAATATAGCCCATCAACAGGCCTGTAAATAGTCTTAAAAATAATATATTTATAACACAATAAACATGTTTATGAGTTTGTTGTCCTTCAACAACGCCGAGGTCACATTATTTGCTGAAATTTTATAGCAAATATAAAACACGAACGAGTTGAGGTTCAATTGTGCGTGTTACACTATGCTTTTGAGTTATGGGCCTTAAATGTTTTGCGAGGTTTGCATCGTATTAACTTGTGAGAATGGAAAATCATGCTTTTGTTGAGTTATAAACTGCATAACTATAAATTCTTCATGTATATATCATTTCCCGTCATCTACCGGTACTTGTGACTTTATTCCACTAGGAAGAAGTAAACGTCCTATTGTGTTGATAAATATGTTTCTTAATTTTTCATAAGTAGATAAATTTTAAATATTCTTCACCTCACATGTCTTTGATTATGGCGACGTTTCAGGTTGCCAATCCTATCCATCTCTATCGGAGCTGACCATTTGCGGGACACATTTTAAGTGAGTGCGCAGACATAAGTGTATACATTTAATATGATAAAATGCATAAAATAAGTATTAAGATAAAAATGTTGTTTTATATTATAAAGGAAGTGAAGAATTGTTCGGACAGGCAGAATGTGAAATTTCATCCTTTACATCTTGACACCAGGCGTTCCAGAACACAGCTTTTTACGGCACTTTTTGCCATCTCTTTGTGAAGCCAGATCCCAGTAGAGGTGAGGTCTTCCAGAAAAGAGCGGACCATTTCCTGAATGATCGGCAACACACCCGCTAGCCCCGGCATTGCAGCCTCCTTGGACGGCGGTTAGTACTCCATTTAGTGACCCGCCTGCTTCCTGTCCCATAAAAAAAAACCTTATCAGCAATCGAATATGCTAACCTAGATCAATTGAGGCTAAGTAATTATTTTTTAAAGTACTTGAGCGACGTCCAGAAGTCGATACTTTGCGTGGAACGAAAAGAGCCGAATCCCAGTACACCAATCAACTTTATTGCCTACGTTCATCAACGGTTGATTCATTACTGCGAATTGCCGTCCCTTTGGCGCAGACACATTTATATGTCATCTGATTTTATTTGTAAGTGCTGTATTGCCATAGCATTGTCTGGGTTTGTTTATTTTGAAATTATCCAGACTTTTTAGGATTTGTTGAATTTCTGGTTTTAAATTATTAAAATACTTTATATAGGTGTTTTTCCTATAACATTTTATGAAATTGTATATGGTCTAAGATCCCGCTATACAACGACCTTCACCGAGATGCTTATTTAATGAAACTTATTTTATATATAATTTAATATGTCAATAAATATAATCCGGGTTGCCTAGCAAATTTCAGTCCAGAGTATGTTTAATTAATTTAAAAAAAAAATAGGTCGTTGTATAGCGGGATCTTATACTAATAGGAAAAACACCTTTTGTAAGGCAATCAAGGTTTACAATAATTTACCAAAAACATTAAAAGATCTTTCTACTAGAGTTTTAAAAATATCGACTTAAGTACTTTTGGAGAAAATGTATTATTCTAGTAATGATTATTTGCGGGATTCATTATAATTAATATAAATTTTATAACATAATAATATATTGTAATACTGTTATAATTTATCACTACAAATAATATAAGAATTGACTATAATGATATGACTCATGATGTATGTAACTTCTATGTAAAATTCAAGACAAATTTGCTCGCCATTATGTGTGGCAGAATATGCGAACTTTAGATTGTACCACCATAACATTTTTGTACCATATTTTTGCAACAAAATAATAATTATTATTATTAATACATTACTAATTCCAACAATTTTCATAATCGCAGTGATTATAAACTTATAAATGTCTTTTAAAAAAAAATTAGTCTCTTAGAAATAATGCTTTTAATGAAGGAATTTAGCTAAGATTAATGTATAGCAAAAGGTTTACTGTTAATCTTATTAAAATAACTTAATTGTATAATAGTTTATTATAATTATTACTTGAAATTTGGCCATACATACGCTGCAAATAAATAAATAAATTCAAGTAAAAAAAACAATCTAGTACAATTTTTCATTCCTCGTAACACGTATAAGGTAGCATCTAATCGCATTTGAGTTCAATCATTAAAAAACCGATAAAGGTGTATCATAAACCTGTCTTCCTATAAGTCGTAATTAATAAAAAATAACTGACAAGGCTTAAAACGCATTTAATTCTTGATAAAGGTAACAAATTGGATATAGATAGGAGGACTCTGACGACAAGATCGTAAGTGCATTGCTGTGATAAGGTTCTGTTCGATTTGTATGGATAATCACAGTTCCTATACAAATCATAGATGGCGCTGTAACAGTTTATGGGGATGTAGGAATTGTAAAGAAACTATTTGAAGTGAAACTTCTTTAGGCGCATGAGGGTAAAATTTTACGGAACGTCACGAAGATGTGCAGCGTTTTTGTCCTTTTTTATTTAATAAAGATGTGCTATGGTGCTAATATAATACAAGTTGAGTTATTCATACTTGAACACCGATGGTGTTTTTAATACATATATCAATATCATTATTATTTTATTAAGTAACTAAATTACCAAGACCTTTTATGCTAAGACCCAGTTGGCTATTTCAGAGAGAATGTGGACATAAGTTAGCAATTATGATAAATATGAATTTGTTATATTTTTTGGTAATTGTTACCATATTTATGGTGGTATTTCTATATACATAACAATAACTTATTTTTGTTCTGGTTTATAATTAGCCTTAGTATCATTCATTAATATAGTAACACTGGAAAAATTAAATTATGGGATTTGGGCAGCTTAATTACTCATTAATTAATTTACAAAAAAGTTTCACTTCGGGCATGTGTACTTTGTACGCACGCACTTTTTTTTTATAGAACAGGGTAGGAGGATCACCTGATGTTAAGTTATAGTGCTGCCCATGGACACTGTCAATGCCAGAGGGCTCGCGAGTGCGTTGCCGGTCTTCGATGTACACGCAGACCTAAAAGTTTTAATAGTAATAGACAGTCTTTGTTAGTTCTCACACTTTCTTTTTGACACTTTTTGTTAGATGTGTTGAAATTGTACGTTTACTAAACTAAAAAGTTTTTATGTTTTTACAATGAAAAATAAGCATGCCCCAATGTATTTGGACACGTTAGTTTGAATATTAATAATGCTGCTGCACACTTCTAATAAAAGTTTAATTAATTTATCAGTAATATTTCTAGTTACAGCCAAATCGAGATATACACAAATGGGAATATCCATACGATTCCTTCGTATATCCTTCACCTTCACATTGTGGTATCGCTGATGTTTATAATCTCGAAATGTCAAAGGTATTTAATTTGAATATCATCTGGTATCTCCGCCCCATACGTTAAACTTATCGATCGAGTGCCTATCCGCGGTATAAAATGTATTGTGAAAAACGTCCCATTGGATTCCATTAAAATGATTAGTCATCGTACTTTGTAACGTTTCGATAAGTTAATTTTTGAATAAGCGCTCCTGTGATAAGATTTTCTCAAAATAATTTATAATTATAAAATGGTTTAGATAGTGACGTCTTTTTTTATAAAAGAGCAAACGAGCAGGGGGCTCACCTGATGTTAATTGATACAATGCCAGAGGGCGTTGCGGGCCTTTTAGGAATTGGTACGTTTTCTTTATAAACCCTAAGTGGAATTGGTTCGGAAATACTTCAGTGTTTCACATAGTGGTGGTGCGCGGTGCGGTGCGGCGCAATGCCCACAGGTGGAGGCTAAATGTTTGTCGTAGCTTTTTTTCACAATGGTAGAGAGTTTATTGATTGATTAAGAGAGTTGATATAGTATTGTCTTTTACTAACATAACTTTTACACATTTAAACAAAACACTTTTTTACCGGATTGAAGTTATGTATTATTATAAACTTATAATTATTTTACATAATTAAATGCGTGACCACGCACGCTGTAAGGCATGCGAAACGTCGGAAAAAAATTAATTATGTAAAATAATTATAAGTCTATAATAATACATAACTTCAATCCGGTAAAACAAGGGTTTTCTTTAAAGAGAGTTGATTTCACGCTCATACGGTTACAGAAAAGAAAAAAAGAGGAATACATGATTGTGTTATATATATGAAGGGCAAATCCGCCTTTTTCACTGAGTATACCGAAATCCTGATCCTGATCTAGATTTTTAAGGTTCTATTATACTTACCAATTTTTTCCGTCTGCCACAAATTAATAAGTGATCATGATGTTGTACTCGGAAACATTATTATTTCGTAAAGATTTACGCGTTCTACGACGTGTTCTTAAACCACTTATCAGCTGCACGCATATGATACTACTATTAAAAAATATCTTTAATTTTATGTCCATTTTATTTTATACCTACACACATTTCCATTCTACTATAACAACATTTAATCAACGCGTCTAAATCAACAGAAACATAAGTTGTACCGTATACCAATCGAGTTTATTGTGAAATGTCACGAAATTAAGTCGTTAAATACAATAAATTGGTTTAGAGAAAAATGATTTGCATATCAGCTTTTAGCGGTCATGAGCTTAGCGTGAGGAACAGTCGTTTTATTAAAATGTTATTAATGATGTTCATTCCAGTAGGTAGGTACTTATCTCGTGTCAGAAACATGAAAATACACGATTATCTGGAGATGCCAACCGTAAAAGAATTAATCCGCAAAAACAGTAGAAGATACAAGGAAAGGTTAAACAAACATACAAATTAACTGGCCAAAAATCTGTTAACTCCAGGAGAAACTCGCCTATAAAGATTGCAAATACTAGACCTAGACCAGAGAAACTAACCTAAAATTAAAATCCAGTTTCTACAATACGGTGCCTTTCAATGGAATCGCACCCAACCCAAATTAACCTCGGAAAATATCTGATTATGGCTGATAGCCGATTGCAGATGTACTAGAACACAAAAAAAAATCTCGTGTATGACTTTTGAAAAGTTTACAAAAGGCGTGACGAAAGATTCCGTTAAGTGGGTGAACATTTATTAAAATAAAAATCTTTATTTTGGTAATAAACTAAAGTAGACATTTTTCTCATATTTTTTCTATACCGCGCGATAACAGCTCGCAGTGACAATTGTCATGGCGTCGGCCGTCGTGTGTGAGTAGGGTTGCCAACTTTTTTGTTGCAATTAAAGTACATTTGTACACAAGAAAAAAAAACAGTACATGGTATCACTGTAAAGTACAATTTATTTGTCTTTATTATTACATTTAAAAATATATTTTTTGTTGCTTTTTGCAGTCTGTAAATTAGTATCTCGACTAAACAATTGCACCGCATAGGTGTTGACTATGAAACTACTCTAAACTAGCAAACTCATAAGCTGCGAGCTTAGAACCCTGAAAATAAACAATGACAAGTTTATTGTACAATAAACTATGAAAGTAAAATAAAATAAACTCTTAAGAGTTCAAAACGAGTATTGATTGTATTTGTATCCAGTGGTTAAGATAAACACAAAATTAATTACACGTAGGTTTTTACGCTTCTAAACTTAGCCGAGCAAAATTCTTTATTTGTTTCGAGGAAAACGCGCAATATCGATATATCAATCCTTGGCAAATTTGAGCTGTTTGCCTTAACGAATCATAATTCCATTGTAATAGATTCGAGTAGAGTGGATAAATCACACATAAACTAATAAAAATCAATTCAAACGCGTAAACACAATAAAACAGTGAAGTAACTGAAGTTTACAAAACCGTGACTAATTGCTGTTTTTTTTAATTAAAAATCTTACTTTTACCCTAAAATCAGTAAATCTTTGAATATTTGATACTTTCGTCACGCCTATTGTAGGTTTTATGTGTTTCTATGTACTTTGCACATGATACGTTCAAAGGGAATATAATAAATAATGCTTACACGAATAGAAACGTAAAGTGTTGTGCAATCGATATTCTATTACCTTAAAATTAAGTCTAAAGTTGTTAGTTAAGTTCTTACCGGCAAAATTATAATACATTAAAAAATTATAACACT